AGTTTTATATTAACCTTATTGGACGATTGAGCCTGAAAGAACCAGACACAGGTGTTATCTGGTCCAAGGATGATGTTGTCAGTTGAGATAGAGCCTGACTTAAACAGTGTAAATTTTGTCCGACATAGATCTGAAAAACAGAAAATTTAGACTTTTGTATTAAAAGAAATAGTAGAAATGTCACAATTTCACAAACAAACAATAGCATTTCCAATTCTCTTGGCACGTGACATTACAATATTTTCAGTATATAACAACAATTTTGAATGCCCATTAGTTCTCTTGCCAGTTTTAGAACCAGTATACTTAATGAACAAAAACTTACTGCATTTATATGCTGTGTTTAATTTCTTTAAATCCAGATGACTCATCCCATTTCTCTGTCCAATAGCTACATTAGGGTCAGGTTTTGGGACTATAGTATTTCCACCTGCCTTGATGCTGAAAGCATATCTGTAAAGAAAGAGATTACTTTGTGTGGTTGTGCAGATTCAACAGAGAAATGGAATATATTATAACAAAACTGCTCACATCTCGAATTTAGAGTTCAACCTACCGTGGATAATGCATAACTGAGCCATAATCATACGGAAAGCCCAAATTATGTGTCCTTTGCACATTAAAGTTGCCTTTATAATCTGCAGAAAAATATAGGTGTAAGCAATATATACAGTTAGAACACTCATTACAAGGAACTTGTATTGGTTTTGTATCAAACTGAAATTCATTCAAATTTGGGCTGATCTGATGTCTGGTCGAATTTCTGAATTCTAACCTGAAATACAGTTGTGCTCAAATGTTTGCATACCCTGGCAGAAATGGTCACATTTTGGCATTGATTTTAAAAATATGACTAATCATGCAAAAAAAAAAATTAATAAAGGATATTGATTTATATAAAGTCGTTTTTTTTTTTTTGTTTTTTTTTATGAACACATTTTTGTTCCTTAAGGATGGCGGGCGAAGCCATCCTTTAGTACTTGCCTGATCGCAAGCGGGCATCCCAGGCAGTCCCCCTGCGGCTGATCCGGGCCATGTGATCACGATGACGTTGTGATCACATGGATGGAATAGTCGTCTGCAGGGGGCCTGCCTGAAATTAAATATTGATCTTAAAATACATTTATAATGCAATTTTTTATATATATATATATATATATATATATATATATATATATATATATATATATATTTGTGTCTGAAACACTACAAGCCGTATAATAATCAAATGTATGCGTTTCGATATAAACATAAGTTGGCTGAGTTTTGCCGAAACCGACGAGGTTAGACCTACAATAAAAGAGGGCAAAAAATATGAAAACAAGTTCATTTACTTTTCAATTAACAATCATTTATTCCTATTATTGAAAGCCTGTATGATTTATTTTTCTCGGTTTGGAATTTTCCCATCTGTGTGCACAGGATTTGCAACGTCCCATATTAATTATGTGTCGAAATATGATTATTAGAGGTTGCTGCTCTGATACGGCCTGAGAAGGAGGCTGGATTAAGGCCTAGACAAAGTATTAATGTACGAATATATAGCATAAATTGTTTAGTGGTAAGTGGTTTACCTTGTACAGATAGTAAAGAGGTAGTTAGGGTCCTGGCTAACCTTTTTTTTTTTCTTTTTTAATTAATGAGTCTAAAACGTGAACCGGGTATCATTAAGGAAAAGTAGGATAGCATGGAATTTCTAGACTGACATGTTTTTGTATGAGGAATAGATAGAATGTAATGATTGTTAATTTTCTTTAAATTATTTTGCTTAAGGCATGATTGAAGGTCGGATGCTTTTTCAATAGTAAATTATTTTGGCCTCCAGAAACTGTAGAAAGCTAAGTAAGCTGCTGATTTAATTACCATGTTGATAGGGTTATTAAAGGGATGTTTATCGATTCATTCTGAGATTTCCCTAAAGATGGTACTGTCTATGGGGAGTCTTTTGGATGGTTTGTGGAGTTTTAGTCTCTGATTACCTCTCAGCACATTTTTGTCAATCTGTTTTTTTTTTTTTTTTATTGAGGTGAATTGCACAGGACAGAGGGCAAACTTATACAGTGTAAATTTGTATGCATAGTAACATGGTTCAGGATACTGCAGTGCATCGAGTAATAGTCACATCATTTTCATATATACGAATACAAGAGAGGAAGTAATAATACCAGGTCAGCACTTGCTCAGGTGGGCAGAGGTGCGTACTAGACCTGGTAATTAGCTTGAGCTGACACTGGTAGGCGTCACATTATAGGCATCTCTATCTTTCAGGTTCTGACCGACATGCAATGGCACCCTATTATTATTGGGGTGTCAGGGCGTGGGGGGTTGTATTAGGGGTGCACATGCCATCGTGAGTTGCTAAAAGGGGGGAGGAAGACATTGAGGTTATGACTTTAAAAACACTAACAGGAACGGTGTGTGATAGTGAGTGGAGCAAAGTACCACTAAGAGACAGTAAATTAAAAAAATATGTATACAAACTATTCTGATGAATGGAGGTTCTTCCAATAAAAGATGTTATACATAAAAGAGAAGGGAAAACACAGGTAATAGTGCAGATTGTTTGTATAAAAATACAAATATATAAGTATACATCTATTTATAGATCAGAAGTCATCTCTGCAATAATAAGCCTGAGAGGCTCCAGTAGAAAAAATGACAATGATTTATTTTCTGCCACATGCAGAGTTAAAATCCATAAATACATAAACAAGAATAAAAAGTGGTAGAGAGAAAGGGTGGTTAGCCCCTTACTGGATTTGATGGTGAGTATGACAGATATCTGTCTACCGGCAGCACTGTGGAGTGTTCTCCCTGTTCGGCTGGATGTTACTGTATAATGCCGGTCTCCAAACTCTGGTCTATAGGCTCCTCCCCCTGTATGACGTCAACACGTTTCACCGGATGGCTTCCTCAGGACGTGCTCACAACCTCCATATTGGTTGTGGGCATATATAGGGCATCAGTTACTTGTAATTGGTTGTTCAGTGATGCAGATGAATTACATACAGTATAGACGCAATTACACACTTACATATTTTAACCAGTAAATGACTAACCTATATTGTGTTGACAATAGTAATGTACCGAACGGTTCGCTGGCGAACGGTTCCCGGCGAACATAGCATGTTCGCGTTCGCCACGGCGGGCGAACATATGCGCGGTTCGACCCGCCCCTTATTCGTCATCATTGAGTAAACTTTGACCCTGTACCTCACAGTCAGCAGACACATTCCAGCCAATTAGCAGCACACCCTCCCTAGCAGACCCTCCCACCTCTGGAAGGCATCCATTTTAGATTCATTCTCAAGCTGCATGCTTAGTAAGAGGAGGGAAAGTGTAGCTGCTGTTCATAAGATAGGGAAAAGCATAGCTAGGTTAGGGATAAGGGTATGCTTTTTTTTTTATTTTATTTTTTCTATGTAATGTAATTGCACTTAGTTGTCTGCCACTGCTGCCAGCTTCTGTGTCAGGCTCACAGTGCATACTGTGCCCATTTCCCCAGTCAGTGCCACCAATTACATCTGGTGTCACAATAGCTTGGATTTAAAAACAAAAAACTTTTTTCACTGTTATAGATTGAATAGCAGTCAGTTGTCTGCCACTGCTGCCAGCTTCTGTGTCAGGCTCACAGTGCATACTGTGCCCATTTCCCCAGTCAGTGCCACCAATTACATCTGGTGTCACAATAGCTTGGATTTAAAAACAAAAAACTTTTTTCACTGTTATAGATTGAATAGCAGTCAGTTGTCTGCCACTGCTGCCAGCTTCTGTGTCAGGCTCACAGTGCATACCGTGCCCATTTCCCCAGTCAGTGCCACCAATTACATCTGGTGTCACAATAGCTTGATTTAAAAACAAAAAACTTTTTTCACTGTTATAGATTGAATAGCAGTCAGTGTCCTTAAAGCGGGTGTGTTACGCTAACAGTGGATACGCTGACAAGTGCCACTAATTAGATCTGGTGTCACAATAGCTTGGATTTAAAAAAAATAAAATCTTTTTTCACTGTTATAGATTGAATAGCAGTCAGTGTCCTTAAAGCGGGTGTGTTACGCTAACAGTGGATACGCTGACAAGTGCCACTAATTAGATCTGGTGTCACAATAGCTTGGATTTAAAAAAACAAAAAACTTTTTTCACTGTTATAGATTGAATAGCAGTCAGTGTCCTTCAAGCGGGTGTGTTACGCTAACAGTGGATACGCTTTCCAGTGCCACTAATTAGATCTGGTGTCACAATAGCTTGGATTTAAAAAAAAACAAACTATTTTTTCACTGTTATAGATTGAATAGCAGTCAGTGTCCTTAAAGCGGGTGTGTTACGCTAACAGTGGATACGGTGACCAGTGCCACCAATTAGATCTGGTGACACAAAGCTTGGATTTAAAAAAACAAAACACTTTTTCACTGTTATAGATTGAATAGCAGTCAGTGTCCTTAAAGCGGGTGTGTTACGCTAACAGTGGATACGCTGACAAGTGCCACTAATTAGATCCTGTGTCACAATAGTTTGGATTTAAAAAAAATAATAATCTTTTTCTACTGTTATAGATTGAATAGCAGTCAGTGTCCTTAAAGCGGGTGTGTTACGCTAACAGTGGATACGCTGACAAGTGCCACTAATTAGATCTGGTGTCACAATAGTTTGGATTTAAAAAAAAAATAATCTTTTTTCACTGTTATAGATTGAAATAGCAGTCAGTGTCCTTAAAGC